ACGTAAAGCTGCTTCCTGAAACAGTGTGTGTAAAGAAAAACACACACACACCTTTGTTCTTTTAAAAATCGTAAATCAATAACGATCCGTCGCCCCCGGCAACGCTTACTGACGATCAATACACACACACACACACACACGGGAAGGAAACACCTGTTAAATACCAATTACAGGGAGGAGATTCACTTCAGCCTTCATTCCTTCATTCCTTCCTTCCTTCCTTCCTTCCTTCGTCTGAATCTGTCGGCCTATTTGTTCATTGCTCCTTCTCTCCTCATTAAAAGTGACGGAGTTAAAGGGAGAAATAGGAGCGAGGATAGAAGAAAATAAAGAGGACGCTCTGAGTGAAGGAGGAGGAGGAGGATCAGACTGTGAGGTTAAAGAGGAGAGGAGAGATTTGGTTGTAGTCAGTGTGTGTCTCCTCCATCAGAGCGTCTGATGTCTAATGATGAACAAGACGATCAATAAATCACCTCTAACACTCACACTCATCCTTGTACTTCTGTCCTTGTGAGGACCCTCACTGACATAATGCGTTTCCTGGACCCTGACCCCAGTCTAAACCTGATTCTATCCTGATCCTTAAAACCAAGTCTAAACCAGCTCCTGGATGGTCTCGCAGACTGAGAGTGCTTCAAAACATATAGGAACCAGGATCGTCAGTTTAAAACAACAATGTTGGGGGCGGTGATGGCGCAATGGATAAGATGCCTGCCTTCGGTGTGAGAGACCCAGGTTCAATCCCCCACTGTGATCCATCCACCACTGTGTCCCTGAGCAAGACACTTAACCCCTCGTTGCTCCAGAGGCGTGCAACCTCTGACACGTATAGCAATTGTAAGTCGCTTTGGATAAAAAGCGTCAGCTAAATGAGTTAATGTAATATAATGTTAGGACAGGGAGACCAGAGAGACCGGGGAGGCCATGTAGGTGGGGGTGACCAAGGAGATCATTCATTATTGATTAATAATCCAGTTTGCTGTGAGAAGGCTGAATTTATTTATAAATACATAAATGATTTATAATAAGGATGATCTCGATTGATGAATAAAATATTCAGACTGAACATGTTTATTTGGATCAAATAAAAGTGAATGATCACATCCTAACAACAGCATGCTGACTTTGATCAGTGATCAGTTTTCTAATTGATCAGCTGACTCACTAACGCAGTCTCTGTTGTTGCAGCAGCGTGTTGAGGTGACAGATGACGTGAAGTCGTCCTGTAAACTGTTCTTTGTGTCTGAGCAGAGAAACAGCAGCCGCGGTGTGTTCAGGGTCACACTCCTCATTCTGTTTCCCAGGAAGAAAAAATATTCAGCTACACTTCATCTCTCCATTGACTCCCATGCATTCATACATTTAACATTTAGCCGGCCGGGGGCCCTCTGGGGGCCCCAAACATTATTCTGCTGTCAGTCACCCTGAAACGCGGCCAGTAATGAGATTCCATCCAAAACCAACCTGCAGCATGAGAGGGAAATCACCTACGCCCGCTAAATGATTGACAGCACGTCGTCCTCCCATAATCCCACGCTGCAGACACCAGAGACGCTCGCAGACAGGAGATTGTGCCCCCGAAAAATTCTCACATCTGCTATTCAGAGCGAGATGTGAAAAGATGAGAGCTGGTCACCATCATCATCATCAGCTAAACAGGCAGCTGGAAGACGAAAATCTCACCTGCGAGGGATTTCGAGGGTTTAAAGACAGAAGAGATGATTCAGGATCATCACGTTCAAACGCTCTCACCACTGACCCTCAAAGGCTTCTGTCTTTACACAGAACAAAGGACCAGCGAGGCTCAACCTGCGGGACGGGGCCCTCCAGGAGGCCGCGAGGGAAGGAATAAAACAGCACGTACAGCCGCTGATAAAGACGCTACGCTGGATAAAAGGCTGAAAGCTACAGAGACATAAAAAGAGAAAAACTGACTGAGACTCGCGTTTAAAAAAGTGTCAACGACTGGTGCCTGTTAGCATGTTAGCATGTTTGCAGATGATAGAGTCCTGTGTATGTTCAGCTAATTTGCATCAGCAAGTGTTTAATAAATGTATATACTGACAGAACAGTATTCAACTGGCTTACTTCAACATCGTGTCCTGATGAAGAGCTTCATGGATCTCGGCTCCTAGCTGAGATTTGGAAACACCAGGTCCTCCAAACTCAACATGCTGATCCAGTCCACTTTATTTATATAGCAACAAGGTTACCAAAGTGTGATTCAGACCAATGAAAAGCCAACAAACAACAAAACAAAGACCACACAGCTCTTGCGGTGGATTAAAAGTCAACGAATAATGTGAAGGATCCATCCATCCATCGTCAACCGCTTATCCTGCGTCGCGGGGGGCTGGAGCCAATCCCAGCTGACATCGGGCAAAAGGCGGGGTACACCCTGGACAGGTCGGTGAAGGAAATATTAAATATTAAAATATGTAGAGTAAGTGTAATGAATAAATAGTACTAGTAAAGAGTAGCGATCATGTGGAGAGCTGGAAAGGACAGAATCAACCAGAATATTTCACATTAATCATATATGATTGATTAATGAAACTAACTAGTAACGACTTGGAGACCAACATTAACCATTGCTAGTAAACGGGACGTGGACTCCGGTCAAGCCCTGAACTTTCCATCCGTCCTCTGGACCTCTGACTTCTGGACCTACACGAACTGAACATGAATCATCCAAAAGAAATCTGACAGAGCAGAACAAAGACATGTTCTGTATTTTAAGACTGTAAAGAAACATCTGTCCTTACTCTGTACTCTGGATCAGAACTTTCCTCTTTGAGTACGGATTTCTATTAACTGGACCTCAGAACCTTCCTCTCTGTATCTGTGTCTTTTAACTGGACCTCAGAACCTTCCGTTAACTGGACCACAGAACCTTCCTCTCTGTATCGGTGTTGGTTAACTGGACCTCAGAACCTTCCTCTCTGTATCTGTGTCTTTTAACTGGACCTCAGAACCTTCCGTTAACTGGACCTCAGAACCTTCCTCTCTGTATCGGTGTTGGTTAACTGGACCTCAGACCTTACTTTCTGTATCGGTGTTGGTTAACTGGACCTCAGAACCTTCCTTTCTGTATCGGTGTTGGTTAACTGGACCTCAGAACCTTCCTCTCTGTATCCTTGTCTTTTAACTGGAACTCAGAACTTCCATTAACTGGACCTCAGAACCTTCCTCTCGGTATCGGTGTCTTTTAACTGGACCTCAGAACCTTCCTTTCTGAGTCCCGGTGTCTTTTAACTGGACCTCAGAACCTTCCTCTCGGTATCGGTGTTGGTTAACTGGACCTCAGAACCTTCCTTTCTGTATCGGTGTTGGTTAACTGGACCTCAGAACCTTCCTCTCTGTATCCTTGTCTTTTAACTGGAACTCAGAACCTTCCATTAACTGGACCTCAGAACCTTCCTTTCTGAGTCCCGGTGTCTTTTAACTGGACCTCAGAACCTTCTTCTCTGTACCAGTGTCTGTTAACTGGACCTCAGAACCTTCCGTTAACTGGACCTCAGACCCTTCCTCTCAGTACCAGTGTCTATTAACTGGACCTCAGACCCTTCCTCTCTGTACCCTTGTCTTTTAAGTGGACCTCAGAACCTTCCTCTCGGTATCGGTGTCTTTTAACTCAACCTCAGAACATTCTTCTCTGTACCAGTGTCTGTTAACTGGACATCAAAACCTTCCTCTCTGTATTGGTTTCTTTTCTTTTAAGTGGACCTGAGAACCTTCCTCTCGGTATCGGTGTCTTTTAACTGGACCTCAGAACCTTCCTCTCAGTACCGGTGTATTTTAAGTGGACCTCAGAACCTTCTTCTCTATACCATTGTCTGTTTACTGGACCTGAGAACCTTCCCCTCAGAGTACTAGGATCTGTTAGCATTACTGTAGTATTATTTAAATCAGATGTACTCTCTCTCTGTGGTATTTCTCCGCTGTAAACAGATAAAGTGGGTTTAATAAACTGGTCTGATGCTGCAGAATAAAAAGCCCGTCTGAGAGTCTGGATGAAAGTGTTTGTGCTCTCAGCAGCAGAGTCTGACCCTGACATGTTTCCTGTTCACTGGACGACGCCGAAACACAGGAGACCTTCCCATCATGCATTTCAGCAGGCAGGGGGGAGAAAAAGAGCCGCTGTAATATCACCACTTCTCTTTTCAAAAGGCTGCAGCAGTCACATCCATCCCTCCATCCCTCCCCTGCTTTTACTCCCCCTCCTCCCTCCACAGCCTCGGAGAAGAGAGACAGAGGGAAAAGGGGGGAGGGAGGAATAAGATTAATACTCAGGGGGAGGACGAGAGGAGAGGAGGAGGGGGAGGTGAGAAGAGGAGAGGAGAGCGTATGATTCCTCATGGGAGAGAAGAGAGGGGGGAGGGAAGTAGCTGCCTCCCCTGGACCAGTTCAGCTCAGCCTCTCTGTGAACGCTGATATTTCTGGATGATCCCTGTTTTTTAAGTCCAGCAGCAGAATCCAGCCTGAGCTGCAGCTAATGTTCTCCTGTCCTGACTTCTGATTGCCTTCACCATCAGACCAGATCCTGTAGGGTCCTCCAGCATCAAAGACCAGCTCCAGTCTTTAACCAAAACAATGACCCACAAACCCACAGACCAGAGTCCATGAATGAAGGTGGTGATGTGAGGTCATGACCTTCTTCCTTTCTAATGAATTCTTTGTCTTATTAAAAACATGCTGTGTTCAGGACAGTTGACCTTGGGACACTGAAGGATTCTGCTTGTGTTGGTGAACAGAGCGGCAGCATGTCTTGGGACGCTATCAGCACAGAAACACTCCGACACGTTGATGTGAATTATAAACACACAAATTTATACATCAGGTCTGAAATATAATAACACACACACGCCGGGCTGGAGAAACATGTCGCTGTTAAAATAACGTGTGTGAAAGAGAGCATGAAATCCACTCAGCAGCATCAACTCACACTGCATGATAACACTGTGTGTGTGTGTGTGTGTCAGGTGTGCAGTATCTGTTACCTGTCGATGATGACAGGGTCCGACGGCGTCTCGTTTCTGTTTCCACAGCTCTTCTTATCGCAGCAGCGGCTGACAGAGACAAAGACAGAATAATAAAAACTGTCACAGGGTCTTCATTCACTTTGCTCTGAAAAACACGACTGCACCTCTTTTACACAGTACAGGTACTACAGGTACTACAGTACATGCAGTAGTTCAGGGTAGGGATCTACACAGGCTACTCAGGTGTGACAGTCCTTGGGTCTATTAGAACCAGGTGTGACAGTCCTCGGGTCTATTAGGACCAGGTGTGACAGTTGTCAAGTCTATTAGGACCAGGTGTGACAGTCTTGGAGTCTATTAGGACCAGGTGTGACAGTCCTCGAGTCTATTAGGACCAGGTGTGACAGTCCTGGAGTCTATCAGGACCAGGTGTGACAGTTGTCAAGTCTATTAGGACCAGGTGTGACAGTTGTCAAGTCTATTAGGACCAGGTGTGACAGTCCTCGAGTCTATTAGGACCAGGTGTGACAGTCTTCGAGTCTATTAGAACCAGGTGTGACAGTCTTGGAGTCTATTAGGACCAGGTGTGACAGTTGTCAAGTCTATTAGGACCAGGTGTGACAGTCCTCGAGTCTATTAGGACCAGGTGTGACAGTCTTCGAGTCTATTAGAACCAGGTGTGACAGTCCTGGAGTCTATCAGGACCAGGTGTGACAGTTGTCAAGTCTATTAGGACCAGGTGTGACAGTCCTCGAGTCTATTAGGACCAGGTGTGACAGTCCTGGAGTCTATCAGGACCAGGTGTGACAGTCCTGGAGTCTATCAGGACCAGGTGTGACAGTTGTCAAGTCTATTAGGACCAGGTGTGACAGTCTTGGAGTCTATTAGGACCAGGTGTGACAGTCCTGGAGTCAATCAGGAGAAGGTGTGACAGTTGTCAAGTCTATTAGGACCAGGTGTTACAGTCTTTGAGTCTATTAGGACCAGGTGTGACAGTCCTCGAGTCTATTAGGACCAGGTGTGACAGTCCTCGAGTCTATTAGGACCAGGTGTGACAGTCCTTGAGTCTATTAGGACCAGGTGTGACAGTCCTCAAGTCTATTAGGACCAGGTGTGACAGTCCTCGAGTCTATTAGGACCAGGTGTGACAGTCCTCGAGTCTATCGGGACCAGGTGTGACAGTCCTCAGGACTATCTAATCGGGTAGGGTCACACCTGGACCTAGTGTATTTGGAATAGCAAGTCTAAAAGTTTTGGTTAAGGTGAACGAAAGTCACCTGATGACCACGATGACGAGGTTTGACAGTCTAATTAGGTCAGCCATGGTCAAACCTGGTCCTCAGGTGTATGTTGACCAGGTTTGAGTACGCTGTCAGATGACCGTCACAGCTAGACCTGAGGTGAGTCATACCTGGTTTAAATGAACTGAGGGCCAGGTGTGAGAGTCTGATGATGTATGGAAGGGTCCCAGTCAGACCTGGTCTTCAGGTGTATCTGAGCAGGACCTGATTGTCCCTGGTTTGTGTTCAGAAAAATCAGTTTAAGCATGGTGGGTCCAGCAGGTAGTCCTCTCCAGGACAGGTTAATGTTCTCACCTGCACATGATCTCATGTGTCAGCAGAACTCGGCACATCTCTGGATTCTTGTCCTGACCTTCATAGATGATGGCCTGAAACACACACAGGTGAGACGAGTCCAGGTGAACACACCTGTCACACATGAAACCTGCTGCAGGAGGGAATGTCTTGGCTGTCGGCAGCAGAAACGACTCAATTAAAGGCCCGTCTGATTGGCTCAGTCAGGACTCATTATTAGCTATTAGTGGAGCGAACTGAGCGCGTGCGGAGCGAGCAGGCTGAGTGCAAACATTTGATCCTCTGAATGTTTTATTACAGCCGGCAGACATTCAACATGGAACAGCTGGAACCAAACGCAGGAAAAGCCTTTTTCACAAAGGCCGGATGACACCACGCAAACGACGCCTGACGGGCACGCTCGTTAGAGACGCACTAATTGAATGACTCGTTAGAATTAAACGCTTCCACTGCAGCTGATTTCCATGAGAGGCATTGTGCAGCAGAGAGAGAGCTGACTGTGGAATGTTACCAGCACTTATTAGTCATGTGTTATATTACTGCGTTACACCAGACAGCAGTATATTACTGTAACTGAGTTACTTTAAGTACACGTTACTCCCAACACTGCTGGTGGCGCCAGAGGAAAGATCATGGAGGCAAATGTAAAGAGTTCCTCCACTGGAGAGCAGGAACTGTAGAGAAGCACGTCCTGTCTCCTACAGTCTGATTCTCCACAGCATCAGGAAGAATTTCAGGTCTTTGTGGTTAAACGTTGAATATATTAAAGTCGACGCTGAACTGAAGCACAAGACGGGACGTGATGAACCAAAACATCGTTTCCTGAACTTCACTCAACTCATCCTGATTTCTATAGTTTCTGCACACACAGTGACCACACAGGGAGACTCCAGGGAAACACCTGAGCTGGTTAGCTTAGCACAGCCAGAGGCTAGTGAGTGTGTTTAAACAGTGGAGGAGGAAGGGGTGGTGGGAGGCAGCCTCAGAGACGGACCTGTCCCCTTAACCAAAGTGGTTTAGGATCCAAGGTCATGTTAAGACCAACTTAAGCATGAGAGGATTAAGTGAGGCTCGGACGCTGAAAGAAGAAGCAGCTGTTCAAAGTGAACCCAGCTCAGTTTCTAAATGTGGCGCTGCTGGACTCTGGAGTGTAAAGGCCTCGGCATGTTTCAGACAGATCATCAACAGCGTCAGTAACAGTCAGACAGTCAGGTCTGCAGCTCCACCCACACTCTCCACACCTGAACCAACAGACCACTGCAGCTAACAGATGGTCCAACTTCTCTCTCTGTTGCCTGTGGATTCTCACGCCCAGTAGAGAGAGACTTTCATTTTCACTGAAACAGTCTGACAGGGAGCCAGGAACACCACAACGTGGCCTTCATGTTGTCGTTATCAGCACAGGAAGTAGAAACACATCACACCGTAGTAGATTCTACTTCCAGAGTGGGCACTGACACTGCTCAACATTTACTTAACTAAAAGAAGTCACTGTTGACTTCGGGTTTCACACGGGTCAGGAACTTCTTTAGACCAGGTCAGCTGACTTCCTCCTTTGCTCCCGTCTTAATTACTACGACCACAAGAGGTTGATGTGATTATAGGTCTTAATGAGCTGCTCTGATGGGCTACAGTTTATATATACACACACACACATATACATATATATACACATATATATATATATATATATATATATTAGAGGTGGGTCGATACAGCAGAGTACAGCACAGAGTATCGCGATATTTTCTGTGGCAATATTGCATCAATACACGGAGGTCAAGTATCGATCTTTTATTAGATAAATTGTACATACTATAATGATAAAATGAATTGCTTTTCAGTCCACTAGAAAAAGAGTTTTCCTTTGGAGACACAATTTGAAGTTGGAAAAAGGTAAAAAATTGCAATATATCGCAATATGTTTAAAATCGCAATAAAATCGTATTGTGACAAATCGTGATAATATCAGTTCCCACCCTATTACATATGTACTATATATCATATATATGTATATATATACTGTTTATATGAGCCTTTAAATAGTTAAGATGTGCTCGGTCTGGCTTTGGTAGAATATTAGAGGACACAGAGAGACATGCTGGATATATATGCGAAATATTTCAGCCTGTTCACGCCGAGAAACGCGTCCATGAACCCGGAAACGTTTTCAGACATGATGTCTGACTGAGCTCCTGTCAGTGAGCCTGATGATCAGCACTCTCACCTGTTTGGTCATGGAGTCGATCAGCCGCACGTACAGGTCCTGCTCCGTCCTCACTCCTGCACACACAGTCACATTATCATTAGTACTATTGAACAGCCTCCACTCAGGCTGAGCTGTGCAGTAAAACAAGCGTCCCCACCGTTGCTGTAGAGCAGCTGCAGCTTGTAGTGGATCCCGTTGTTGGTCTTCTCTCCGCCCGGCTCCTGCACACACACGGACAAGCTGATGGGTGCGCTCGGTCTCTACTTCTGCTCCACCCGGACCTTTTCACAGCACGTGACCTGTGTGACCTCTGGGGGGGTTTGGGTTCTAACTTTTATTTCTCAGACCTGTGAGTTTGTTTTCTATTCCTGGTTGTCCCTGATTTTCTGTGTTGGACTGATTTTCTAAAAATGCGTGAGCAGGGGCGGGGCAAAGCAGGCCATCATAGGTGTGTTTGATTTCTACTCTGTGTATATGTATTGTGCATTGGGAGAATGTGTTGGTGATGGCAGTGAGGTGTGTTTGGTTTGTGTCCCGGCTACTCCCTCCCTGTCTCTCACCTTTTCTTTCTCCACAAAGTCGACGTAGGTGGTGCGTTCGATCTCCACCGGCTGGCCCTGCCGGTCGTACAGCGCCAGCACGAAGTGGAAGAAGTTGGACTTCCTCAGGTTGGACGGAGGCTGCTTCTCAAAGTGAGCTCGGGCTAACCCCACCCCGCTGAGAGACAGACAGGTCAGACATATGAGGAGACAGCAGGGTGATGTGATTTAGGGGAGGGGTTAGTGACGTGATGACAAAATACCTTAACATTCAACTGATTGTAGGCAAAAAGATTAAATCCAGGATCAATGTTTCAGAGTTACAGAGAGCGTCAGAACATTTAAGTCACAGCCAGCAGTGATGTGAATTCACTGGATGTGAAGTGAGACAGAGACGCAGGTACAGGTGAAAACATGTCACCTGTACGCTGCAGTCGTCTCTAAAGTTTCCTTCGTACACTTTCTCATCCCGGCTCGTCGCATACGGACGCTTGGTCGGACCCCTTGGCGTCACTTTTTAACGCCCTGCGTAACCTTTGTTTCGTCTATTAGTTTTGACCTGTAGGGCTCCGTGGTCAAGTTAGCAAAACAAAAAAAATGCAATGTCCGTAAGATTTTCAAAATAAAACTAGTGGTAAACATTGTGAAGCGTCACAGTTTGGTAAGGTTTAGGAAGCGATCCTGGTTTGAGTTAAAATAACAACATTGCTTACGTTTCTTAACTCACGTAAGTTAAGTCACGTTACATTTGTAACTTACATAAAAACTTTCAACGTTGACTTTTTGTTTCACACAGGAAACACACACCGGCCTCCTGACTGAGAGTTTGGTTTCTGTAGCCTTGAAATACGGCGCTACAGGGTTTCCCTCAGCACGCTGAACTATGATGCTAACGGGTGTTGACCACGCATCCGTATGTTATGCGATGAGGGTGAGAACGTGTTGGCCTCCCGCTCTGAAAGCTCTTCTCTCGGCCGCACTGAAAAAACACATCTCCTAAACTTTAATCTCAGAAATTCAGCGTTTTTTCTCGGACCCTCGGACCCCCCCCCGTCTCTGTCTTATTTTACATATCTGGCCCTAACACGCCGCCGGCCTTCCCAAATGACAGTTTTGTAGCATTTTGACGTGGGCAGCGTTCAATCAGCGCTGACTGTGACTCCGCCCACCACGCCAGTGTCTGGCGCGGCGCTTCCTGACACGGTAAAACATCTGAAAACATTTCAGTGCAGAGTTTCCCTCATGTCTGCAGTTACAAGGTTTCCACCTGACGACAGCCAGTTCAGTGACTGAAGCATTTTCAGGGATGAAACTTTAATTTAAATCTACAGACATAAGATTTGATTTTATTTTACCTTTATTTCTGCAGGTGGGTTAACAATTAATTGTTCATTACAGAGACGGCATGGTCAAAAATGAAAAAGCAAGAGACCTGAAGGGGCGTTGAAATGAAGCGCTCCTCAGAAGAAGAGCTCCATGCAGGTCCAGCATCAGTAAATCTCTGACATGTTTAATAATAATAAAGAGTTTCTTTTCATCACATGATGTTAATTAACAGCTAAATATTGATAAAACTCTGCGGCTTTAACCTCCAGGTGAATGAATCATGTTAACATGTTTCACACTGCAGGAATATTAAAATGTGAATCTGCTGCCGCGGAGCTCCATAAATATTCAGTCGAGTCAAGCGGCATCGTGACCCCGCTGCAACCTTCTCTCTCATTACAATAAAACACTCAGCTTCTGCGGTGTGAGTTTATTCTGTCTTCATTCTGACAACAAGACAAAAAGAGTGAAGCTTCCAGCCGACAGCACGTTCAGCTGCAGAATTTATGATGTGTGAAACAGAACAAATAATAACTTTACTCGTGTTAACGAAGGATCCATCTTCAGACGCTCGGACAGACCGATTTTATTCTGCTCAGATTAAATCTGTTTGTTTTACTCGTCAGTAAGAAACAAACTCAGATTATCTGCTGAGATCCAGATTCTCATTTCAAACATTCACTTTCTGGAATTTTTCTGTTCAAATGTTGAAACATCACTTTGTCTCCAGGCTGAACATTTCTCATCTCTCAGGAACTGTTTTTATTCTTTATTGCATTCAAATGTTAAATTTATGTGGATTAAAAATGACACGTCATTATTATTCTTATTATTTTTCACAGCTGCTTTGTGTTCATATGAATCAAACAAATAATTTCAAAAAGGTTTAAAATGTGCAGAATAAAGTTTCCTGGTGTCTCAGCTGCTTGTAACTATCAGCTTTCATTCAATAAATGTTGAGCTTCAGCTCACAGAGACGCTTAAAGAACATTTTAAAAATCAATATTAAATCTGCAGCTGTCTCCTGATCATCATGCTCACATCGCTGCTTTATTAGAATATTAATGACTAATATTAAACATCATCTGCAGCTCGACCGACATCAACGCGCACCGACAGCTGCTTTTATTCAGACGGCAGAATAAAATTAAAAGATGAAACATTATTATTATTATTATTATTATTATTAAGAGAATTCATTTAGTTTGAACATCAGCTGTTTAATAACTGATTATTATTAAATCATCTGCATAATTATCAATAAATGTAAATATTGATCTTTGTGAAACAGAGTTTCTGACGCTTCGGACCTGGAACAGGTTTTAAATTCTGATTTTATTTTTTTACTTATTACGAGCTAAACTTTAAAATGAACTGGTCCAAAAAGATCAGAAGGTGATCTGAGAGAGAAATATAAGGTTTAGATGAGTCGGCGGCGCTCAGCCCGGAGCTGCGTCCTGAGCACAGACAGCCTCACATAAATAAAGATCATTTTTCTTTCAGCTGCAGGAAGAACAGAAGATATTTTTCTGATCTGAGAAAATTTAAATTTCACTCTGAAAAACACATTTGATCATTTCTTCATATTTAATATCAGAAACCTCTCTTTGCTTTTTATCCAAATTCAGCTGCAGAGAAAACCCGAAATGTTAAACCTGATCAGAGGAAAAACTGCAGGCTGAATGTGTGAGGAAGTTAAAGCTCCTCCTGACCTGGACGCTGCTGCAGAAACATCAGGAACATTAAAGCCTCCTGATCTAAATGTTCCTGCTGAGCGGCCGTGTGTCCGCTGGGACTACAGCTCCCAGAATCCCTCTGGGGCGGCGGTGAGTTTACCTCTGAGCGGCCGTGTTGGCGTCCACCACGCCGGCCGAGTGCATCCAGGAGCGAACAGCCAGCGGCTCCTCCTTCATGCTGGCCGTGGCCCCGCGGGGCAGGTTGTCCTGGATCCCGAACATCTCCGGGGCCCCGACGCTGCGACCGTCACCGCTGCACGACCACGAGAGCGACGCAAGACGTGGACAAACCAAGAAGAAGAAGAAAAATCAGCAGCTCTGCGGGACAGACGGAGGCTGGATCTTCTGGAGGGACGACGTTTTGTGGAAGTCCAAAGGCCGGCGGCGGCGAGGAGGAAGAGGACGACGAAGATGAGCCGGGAGTTTATTCAACTTTTCATCTGGTTTTTAGATTTAATTCAACTTCACTCTGGAAGAAAACGAAGAAGAGTTTTAATTTAAAGAGATTTTTAAAACTCTCAGCGTTGGCCGTCACGTTGAAAGAAAGGAAGGAGTAGGAGGAGAAAAAAGGAAAATAAAATCCTCAGAGAGAACGAGGGGAAGAACAGAGACGAGTCCGGACGGCAAATCGAGCGCGAGCAAAGTGTCTTTTTTCTTTTCCCCAAAGAGAGGAGGAGAGAGGAGGAGACGCAGGCCGCTGATGGAGGGATGAGGAGCAGAGGAGAAACTCTCAGCCCTGCGGCCCCACAGGACTGGACGCCAGAACCCAAAAACCCCACGGGTCTTCCTCCAAGCTGCTGACGACATCACGGGCAGGGGGCGGGGCCTGACCATATAAGGACAGGAGCGGTGAGAGAGTGTGTGCGTGTGTGTGTGAGGAGAGAGAGAAGAAGAAGAAAGAGAGAGAGCGAGAGGGAGGAGGGGGAGGAGGCGGGCGCTCGAACCGACCAACCAGAGAGAGAGAGTGCCCTTGTGCAGTCATTTACACCCCCCTCCCCCCCCTCCCCCTCTGAACTGGTTTCATTCCAGGTTTGGTCTGTTCTGACTCTGTTTAAAGATTTAAAGGCGCAGTACGTGGTGCTGATGGGAAGCCAGTGAGGGATCCCGTCCCACTCGTGTCCTCGTGTCCCCAGTTCACTTTCACACAAACACAATTAAATTTTAGCCAAACTTTCATAAACTGGTGAAAGTGAAGGCGCCTGCTGAGACGTGTCTCCCGTCTGAAGCTTTGGAGACGTGTCCGCCACGTGACGCTCAGCGACTCACTGTCCACGTCGTAGGAAGGAAAACGAACGCTGTAAAAACCCTGAAAACATTTGACGCTGCAGCTCCTGAAACAGCAGGGGGCGCCGTCTCTGACTCCAGTCTGAGCAGAAGACGTCGGGACGGCGCCGAAGGTTTGCAGACAAACTGAAACTTGGACGAACGAAACAAAGAGGTTAAAATGAAGGACAGCTGGACTCAGCTGAAGACACTCGAAGACGTTTTGAGGAAGAGGCTTCTTCAGATCTGATTGGCTGCAGGGAGTCCCAGCTGTTTAACCTCTGTGGGGTCGTCACCAAGGTGATGGACGCCGCTGGTTGGTTAGGGCTCCTGGAACGACCTGAGGCCAGCGTCTCAGACCTCCTCCCCTGTTGAGCGGCGGTTTATCCACAATCGAGGATCCGGCCTTGACTCCGAGCTGAACCTTCACGAACATCCTGCCAAACAAAGTCCGTCGCTCCGCTGAGCTCAGCCTCAACTCGGTTCTTTCTTCTCCAAAAGGTGAGTCGGCAGCAGGAAATGAGGAAGATGACGAAGACGTCTCCGCTCGTACGATGAGTTCTGCTTGACGGACTGACAGGAAGTGAGACAGGGTTTTCAGAGTAACAGCGCTCCTGTCTTCTGGGGACGAAGGCCTCCGAGGCTCCGAGGGGAGGACCGAGCCCGGGCCGAGGAATAAAGAGAGAGAGGAGGAGAGGAGAAAAGAGGATTTATGTTTCCAGGAGGAGGAAAAAAAGGAGAGACGAGGAGGAGAAAGGAAATCAAGACGATTCGTTTCTTTCCAGCTAGAAAATTCAAACTGAGAGAAAAAGATGGAGAGAAGAAAAAAGGACGAAAGGGAAGAACAAAAGGAGCAGAGGAGGAGGAGGAGGAGGAGGAGGTGAGTGAACGTCCTCCAGACTTTTTATTCTCATTTCCTCATTTTTAAAAACTAATAAAAATAAACTGTCACAGCTGCAGAAACTGACCAATGACAACAACACTAATTATTATTATTATACTAATAGAAATTATTATTATTATTATTATTACTGGAATAATTCATTCTCACAATAATAATAATAATAATAATAATAATAGTAAAAAGGTGGTGATTGTTTTTAAATGGACAAATATCTGAGCTGTGTGTGTGTGTGGGGGGGGGGGGGGGGGGGGCTGTCTTTTCGGGACTAATCCCAGACCTGCGGGGGGGGGGGGGGGGGTAAACAACGATCCTCCTCCTCCTCCTCCTCCTCCTCCTCCTCGGTCTCTCGGCTCTTCTGGATTCAGTAAAATAATTTTATTTGAAGTGATGAAAAATATTTTACTTCTTAATTATTTAATTAACGTTTTTATTGTTGTTTATTGTATTTTCAGTTTTTCTTTCTTCATCTCCATCCAAGTGAAACCTTGTATCTCCAAATCTTAAATTTTCAGTAAACAGGGCAAATGTTTTATATTTTACATACATATTAAGTCCACAGTGCATATTATTTATTACAGTATATTTATAAATGTAAATTTATGGAAAATGCTTTTGTTGTTATAGACGTTCATTTAAAAAGAAAGAAAAGGTGCTGAAAAGAAAAGCAGGAAAAAACTCAGATGAATTAGAAAATCAGTCAGTGTGGTTTTGGTGCTCGAGCAGCTTTAAAAGGCTTCAAACTGACTTCGGTCTCTGACTGAACGCTGTTTCACATTTGATCTCATTTACATGAAGACAAACTCAGTTACAGTCAGCGTCCTCCTTAAAACCCGATCCGTCGGCAGCAGGTGATCGATCAACCTGACGCACCTGATCAATTATGCTCTCCTTTGTTTTTCACCTTTTTATTATTTCACCTGATTATTTTACTTTTGTCCTCTTTCTGTCCTTTATTTTTGCAACAGCCTTTAAATCGTCTGTTTTCCCAAGGAGCTTCTGAATAAGTCGAACATTTAGTCTAAATTATAATTCAGATTTATTTCACTTGATGAAGGAACAAATCTGCATTTATTCCACCTTAAAACCATTTAATGCAATAAATTAGATGTTTGTCAGAAACAATCTCACAATATGTGACATTTATTTTATCCTCTTTTCTGTTTATTAGTTTAATTTAGTTTAAAATTGTACATTTGGTAATAAAGATCTCTTTTCTCAAACGTTGAAGGTGAAATAAATCTCTCTTTATTTCACTGTTCACTGCTGAATTTAAAACCTTAAACCTGTAAATTAACAGCAGAGTGATGTCGAACAAAAGAGGCCACATTATTGATTATTAAATGTAAATTAAATATCTTAAATAAAAAATAACTGATAACAAAATGACCAAACATCATTTTTAATTGAATTAATGTCGTTTCTCCTGCAGTTTATCTTCTGATTTACAGACGAGCCGCAGCGCTGCAGAGTGTGTGTGTTAAACCTCCCCGTCTTCATTGTGTGTGAAGTGTTTCCTTTTGTGTGTGTGTGTGTGCGCGCACACACACGCACGCACACACACACACACACACACACACACACACACACACACATTTGCATTTAAATAGCGACATCAACCGGCGTTCACGGCGGCACACATGCGGGTTTCCCAGATGTCACGGCAAAGTCAGATGGGCCAGCTGTCACGCACGTGCACGCGCGCACACATGCATGCACACATGCACGCGCACGCACAAGGCTGACTCAGTAAAAAACATTCAGTCAGTTTAAACTTCAGAAGCTTTAAACAGAGAGAAACACGCAGTCCGTCAGCGTGTGTGTAGAACACAGGAGAAACCTGAATCACCAGATCGGACCTCTGTCCTGTTTCCAGGTGGCTCCTACTCCCGAGAGGGCCCGTCCCTGAGAGGGCCCCGCTCCCTGTCTCCCAGAGCTTTCTTCAGTTCTTCTGAAGGACTGTTGGGGAGTTTTCCTGATGTGGACGGAGGCTCTGAGGAGTCTGATGCTGGATCAGTGACACTGACTCGACGTGATCTCACACCCGTTATTTAAAACAGCTCGAGATCCTGACCCAGAACCACATCACCTCACCTGTCATTTCAGAAGCTCGTTCAGAAGCTCGTTAACCACATAACCCAACGGGTGGACCAGATAACGTCCCGATTTTATTGGCCCTGCTTTCGTGGAGACGTACATGGCTGGCGTGCGTCTACCTGGATGGGAGTTGGTTAACCAACCGCAGGCCTCGACCGGACTTTCTCCCTTAGAACTGCTATTTGGCAGGAAACCACGTTGGGGTGCTGGACCTGCTTAGAGAAAGCTGGGACGAAGGTCCGAGCCCAAGCAGAAATGAAGTCCAGTACGTCCTGGACCTGAGAGTCCACAAGAGCAGCTCAGGACCTGGAGCTTGAACAGCCCTTCAGCAACCGACAAACGGGACTAACAAGTTGCACCAGCAGACAAGGAGCCCCAAATTACTTATCAGGTGGCAGGGGCCCTTCGATTGATTCCCCGTTGGACAGGTGGATGCTGGGAAAATGAAAACAACGTTCCCATTTGAACAAAGCGCCTCAGAACTTAAAACTGTAATGACCCGAATAAAGGAAACCTTGGACCAGCACGACCAGTTCAGAGTGACTGGGAATCGAACGGCTGCCGGGACAGATGTTCTTTCTGTATTTAGGACTCAGTCAACGCCGAAATAGGGATCAGGCCTGGTCTTCTTTCAGGATAGACGGAGCGTATCACGTCACCGAAGCTGTGAAAGCTACCAGGGGCTCGCCGGCGGATAGTCCCAGACCCTGACCCCGGGATCTGCACTTTCGACGGATGATTCTTTGAGCCGAGGATGTTTCCACCTGTGAGGCGGCGACGGAGGCCGGAGAGTGCGGAGCGGCCTGAAGCTGCAGAAACGTTTCCTGTGGCCGGAAGGCGGGCGTGGAGGGATGGAATCAGCCGGGCGGAGATCAGGGTGCACTCGGACGCCAGCTCGCTGCTACAGCGAGGACCTGAGGACTCGCAGTGAAACGCCGGCTGACAGAACACCGTGATTGGCCGACGGAGATGTGTTTGGTTTGAGTCGTAGAGTAAACCCAGTCATCTGAACTCCTCCATCAGCTACACCACCATGTCCCATTGAACCCTCTGATTCTGGACCTCCTGTGTTGTGTTTAATCCGAGCAGCCTGATCCTCCCTAACATTTTAAATCTGCACCGTGTTGTTTCCACGTTACTCAACTCACTCATGTCTGATCTTATGATCCCTCTGATTTTTACTTCAGTGTAGTAAACTGATCCGGTCCGACGTCAGCAACGAGCCGGGGAATCAGACCTCAGCTCGGTGGTCTTTATAGAGACGCAAAGCTGGGTCACCTTGAGCCCGAACCGCACAGCAGGAACAAAACCAGCCAAGTTCCATAAATGTTTATCGTTCAGTTCAGGTTAGAAATCAGTCAAATCACAACAAGTGACCTCAGTCAGATCTGAAGTAAATCAGGCTGGAGAAGAATCCCGTCAGAAATCAGATGTAAATCCTCGCCATGATTAATAAAGCAGTTTGTTAATCAGTGTGACCTCCCGTCATCACTAAGTTTTAAATCCCACACGTTAGAAATCAGTCCGATTAAATCAGCTTTATTTCTGGTGAAGTCTGGTTGAACTCTTTTAAAAAGTGAAGTCAGCAGATTTATCATGACGGGCTGATCCGATCCTGTTTGTCTCAGCTGCCAATCAAACTGATGGCTGAGTGTCATTGGCCGCTGCCTGACAGGCTGCTGATCAGTCCTCTGTCACATTTTATTCTTTTAGATTTTACCTCCTTCATCTGCTTTGATCCTGCTGTTTTTCTGCATTTCACCGTTTTGTCCTCGTCTCCTCTGTGTTTTATTTTTATTTGACTCTTTTGTCTGACTGGAGTGCGGCTGCAGGGAAACAGACGAGGAGCCACAAAAATGGAAATAAAATGAGAGGAAACAAAGCGCTCGACCTTCAGCTGCAAACACAGAAACACTTTCAGATTCAGCCTGTGAGTGTGCGTGTGCTGCCGAGGGATTTCCAGTCGTCCCAGTTCAGGGAATTCCCTCCATCCCAGCAGAGAGATGGGCGAGCGAGGAAAGAGCGCCACCAAGAGGAAACAGAGAGAGTCGGACCAGAGATTCCTCTTTACAGTTCATATGTGAGGAGATTCACACACATGTGATATATATTTATAGATTTAATCTCTAGGATATGTCTCTATATTCTAGAGATTAAACATCAGATTTAATGTCTGCCGTTCTTTACAGTCTGTCCAACATGAGACTCTGCAGAATAAAGAGCGGAGGGACACCGAGCGTCACTGAAGGAAATGATTTCTATTTGTAGGATAAATATTCTGTAAATAAAAACGTTGCTACATGACAGTGTGATTTTATTTCATAAACTACGAGTCATTAATTAATAACTCTTCTGTTTCTTCAGTCGTCTCTGTTTTAGTTTTCTTCTTTCATTTCATTGTTTATAAAAACGACACAAAATCATCTTTTCTGTAATGAACGCATCACGCAGGGCAACAAGACAGCGAACGCATCACGCAGGGCAACAAGACAGCGAACGCATCACGCAGGGCAACAAGACAGCGAACGCATCACGCAGGGCAACAAGACAGCGAACGCATCATGCTGGGCAACAAGACAGCGAACGCATCACGCTTGTGAAAGCATCTGTCGCCATCTTGCAGAAATATTAACCAATAAATGAAAATGTTTTGCACAAAAAGAAGAATTTTTTAAAGAATTTAATTTAAATACAGAAGAAACAAAAAAGCAACTTCAGCTAAAAACCGTTTTAGATTTAGATTTGGCACCACAAGCTAACACAGGATGCAGAAAATCCACCTGTCTATTGCTCAGACCCACAGAGCCAGAGACCCTCAGACCCTCAGACCCCCAGACCCCCAGACCCCCCAGATCCTCAGAGCCTCAGACCCTCAGAGCCTCAGACCCCCAGAGCCACAGACTCCCAGACCCCCAGAGCCTCAGACCCCCAGAGCCTCAGACCCCCAGACCCTCAGACCCCCAGACCCCCCAGATCCTCAGACCCCCAGACCCCCCAGATCCTCAGAGCCTCAGACCCCCAATATTTCTTTAAAATAGTGTTCAAATATGTTCTGGTCTCTTCTGGTGATAACACCAACATCGTCACTCCTCGTGAGCTGAGCCCTGACGTCCAACCAGCAGAGTGAAACAGGCAGAAACTGGAGACAATGAACTCGACACGCTGCGTTCACTGCAGTGCAGGCTGTTTCAGTCTGAAGTCATTTCCTGTTTCCACCGGACGAGGGGAAATCGTTGAGTTTCTTCTTTGTGGATTCTCTCTTTATGTTTCTGCCTGAGAAAACATCAGGTGAGAACAAGAAGAACAAAGTTTCAGTCTCACTTTTTTAATGAAACACCAGATTTTATTATTGATTGATTGTATTAATGAGAAAAAGTAATTAAAGATTTAAAGTGAAATCATGAATGCTGATTCTCCGAGGCCCTCGTGCTCGTCTGACAGGCCGCACTGCCCCCGGTCAGGTCTGACAGGCGACGTGATCAGAGTCGATTAACATCATTCCGCATCGTTAATTGCTCCTAATTGAACCTGACGTGTCACTAATTAATTAACAGAGGAGGTTAATGAATGCAGGTTTGAGTGGCGGCTCCAGATGTCCAATCGCGGCGTGTCCTCTGATCGTCTGTTCAGGACGCCGCCGTCAGGCCTTCACAGACCGCAGGACGAGACAGAACTAAAAGAAGTGATCAGAGGAGGAAAAATCACTCGCTGAGCTGTTTCTTTAAACTTTGTTATTGATTATACCTTCAAATAATCAGCTGGTCATGTTTAAACAGTAGAACCAAACTGTTCTTCAGATGTTTACAGAGCAGGAAATGAGCCAATGAAAAGAAAGACAGAAGCGTGGAGGCGTTGCGCCCCCTGCTGGATGGAAACCTCATGTCGCCTTTCAGGACAAACCTTTCTCTCTCCTCTTCTTCATCTTCTTCTTCTCTCAGCTCCGCGTGCTGAAATAGAATAAAAATATAAAACATGAATAATATAAATAAAATAATGATTGATAATCAATTATAATAATGTTAAAAGTAAAAAATACTACATGTACTACTCACCTGTTGGTCTTTTGTACTTTACAGCTTTATACCAACCAAATGACTAAATATGCATAAACTATTAATAAAGCTGCCAATTCCATTTACCAAACAGAATGGTTTGTTTTATTTTCCTCCTGCAGTGTTGAGGGTTTCCTGGTGTTTGTCTCCATCTGGTGGACAAACTGAGACATGATGAAGCTGCTTCCTCCTCTTCACTTGTTTCTCTGAAAATCTTCATCAGCAAATCACTCCTCACCCTTCTGCAGTGGTGAAACCAGCTGATCATGTGACCTGCACGAGTTGTAAACATCAGTTTTTTACTGGATCAATTCAAACTGGTTCATTTCACTGACAACAGTCACAGAAAATATTTTTATTTGATTTTACCTTTATTTAATCAGGTGAGTGTCATTGAGATTAAAATCTCTTTTGCAAGAGAGAGCAGGCCAAGAGGCAGCATGAAAGAACATAAAGGACAGTTTCCAACATATAAAAGACATCAGGTACACATACAGTACATATAGGCAGAATACAACTTTATAAACAGCAACACTGACCAATGTTCACCTGCTCCAGATCCTTCAGAGTTGTCAGTCAGTTTCAACGAGTTCTGAAGAAGGTTCCAAGCAGAAGGTGCCGCAAACACCAAGGCTTTTATACCCAATCCTGTTCGGACACGGGGGACCATCAAGTGTTTTCTGATTGAACGACATGTTTCTTTGGAACAACGGGCTTCGAGGTATGTTTTCTCCCGTTTGGTGGGCGTGTCAGATTTCGTGTGTTTTCTACGCAGTCATGCTAATACTGTTATCATTTCAAAGTGCAGACACAGGAGTAGAGGAACTAGTCTTCTCAGTGATCATCACCATGAAACAAAAGAAGAATTGGTCCCAGACTAAAGGTGAAGCAGCCAGTTCATGGAGCACACGGAGATCCAAAACAGGAACAAGGCAACAATCGAAAGTCCACAAAACCTGAAGCAGAAGAGACACGAGACCAAACGCAGACCTGCAGACAGAGCAGACACAGGTGGAAACACTCAGCCAATCAAAGCAAAGAGACAGAACACTACAAAATAAAAACACAGCACGGATTTAACAAAATAAAACAGGAAGTAAAGCCCACATGAACACACAATGCTGGATTTAACAAAATAAAACTGAACTAACAAAACTCAAAAGCTGAAAAACGTTAAGACGTCCAGGAAAAGTTCCTGATGCTGCAGAGAAAAAAGGAATGTCGTGTTACGGCTGCATTTGTAAAATATTTGGAGCAGGCGGTGCAGCCTGATCAGTAATTACTGAGAACTGTTTCTGTGTGCAGCGGCGAGCTCACCTGTAGGCGTACCTCATGTGTTTGTGTTGCTCCGTCTGCCAGAAGGGAGACGACAGGAATAATGATAGTAAGTAATAATAATAACAACACCTTCAATGATTCACGACAACTAAAGTAATGAAAAACAAAGTGTCTGAGATCGACGAGACACTGTGTCCCGTATGAGACACCAGACACAGGAAATATGTCATTACACAAAGTTTAGTTTGACTTGAAGTTAACTTCCTCTTCAAAACTGAATTAAAGAAATAAAACAGAACATTCAGTTGTCTCAGGACTACATTTCCCATGAGTCCTCTCTCTCTCAATGTGGAGGGAGGAGAGTGGGAGGAGGGACCGGGGGAGGAGGAGGAGGGGGAGTTTGGGAAAGAATGTGTGGAATTCATTTCCTGTTCTGCAGCTCTCAGAGTCAAAGTGAACGAGGAGTCGGAGACATGGACGTGATGAAAGAGCGCTGACCCCTCTTCTCCTGCTGGATTCTCCCCGTCCAGGAGGACCGAGGAGGACCGAGGAGGAGGAGGAGGAGGAGGAGGAGGGGGGACCACTATGGCCGAGCCTCTGCTGAAGAGAACCTTCTCCAGGCTGAGAGGCAAAGACAGATCCAGGAGGAAGACGGACCCCAAACTGAGCGGTGAGCAGCTGCAGAGGCTAAACAGAGTCCGTGTTAGTGAGCGCTGCTCAGGACGTCCTGTTCACTGAGCTGTAGTGAGCACACGTCTCTCACAGGCCGATCAGTCTCATCTGTGATCAGACGTCTCAGGCAGATCAGGTCTGTTCTCCAGATTCAGGTTCATACGTTTCCTTTACTAGTCTGAAACTTTTCTCTTCAGTTTGTAACTCTTTGTGTTCCTTCTCAGAGACACGGTCATGTTCTCTGTACTAGTGTTGAGGGAACATGGTACTGGGTTCTAGGCAGAACATTTGAATTTTTCGTTAATATTTGAGTATAAATGATCTATAAAGAACACATGTATGTATGTGCTGCACGTGAGCAGATATCTTTATGTACGTCTATGACATCGTTTTCTAACAGCAGACACACAACCAATGAACAGCCTGCAGAGCTGTGATGTACGCTGTGATGTCACTACTGAGTCTCTGCTGGTACCAAGTCACTGCTGAGTACAGAGTCTCTGCTGAGTACCAAGTCACTGCTGAAGTACCGAGTCTCTGCTGAGTACAGAGTCTCTGCTGAGTACAGAGTCTCTGCTGAGTACCAAGTCACTGCTGAAGTACCGAGTCTCTGCTGAGTACAGAGTCTCTGCTGAGTACAGAGTCTCTGCTGAGTACCGAGTCACTGCTGAGTACCGAGTCACTGCTGAGTACCGAGTCACTGCTGAGTACCGAGTCACTGCTGAGTACAGAGTCTCTGCTGAGTACAGAGTCTCTGCTGAGTACCAAGTCTCTGCTGAGTACCAAGTCACTGCTGAGTACCAAGTCTCTGCTGAGTACAGAGTCTCTGCTGAGTACAGAGTCTCTGCTGGTACAGAGTCTCTGCTGGTACAAGTCTGCTGGTACCAAGTCACTGCTGGTACCAAGTCTCTGCTGAGTACAGAGTCTCTGCTGAGTACAGAGTCTCTGCTGAGTACAGAGTCTCTGCTGAGTACCAAGTCACTGCTGAGTACAGAGTCTCTGCTGAGTACAGAGTCTCTGCTGAGTACCAAGTCACTGCTGAGTACCAAGTCACTGCTGAGTACAGAGTCTCTGCTGGTACCAAATCTCTGCTGAGTACCAAGTCACTGCAGTACAGAGTCTCTGCTGAGTACCAAGTCACTGCTGAGTACCAAGTCACTGCTGAGTACCAAGTCACTGCTGAGTACCAAGTCACTGCTGAGTACTGAGTCACTGCTGAGTACAGAGTCTCTGCTGAGTACAGAGTCTCTGCTGGTACCAAATCTCTGCTGAGTACCAAGTCACTGCTGAGTACCAAGTCACTGCTGAGTACCAAGTCACTGCTGAGTACCAAGTCACTGCTGAGTACTGAGTCACTGCTGAGTACAGAGTCACTGCTGAGTACAGAGTCTCTGCTGGTACGAAATCTCTGCTGAGTACAGAGTCTCTGTTGGTACCAAATCTCTGCTGAGTACTGAGCCTCTGCTGAGTACAGAGTCTCTGCTGAGTACAGAGTCTCTGCTGAGTACCGAGTCACTGCTGAGTACAGAGTCACTGCTGAGTACAGAGTCTCTGCTGGTACCAAGTCCCTGCTGAGTACAGAGTCTCTGTTGGTACCAAATCTCTGCTGAGTACTGAGCCTCTGCTGAGTACAGAGTCTCTGCTGAGTACCAAGTCACTGCTGAGTACAGAGTCACTGCTGAGTACAGAGTCTCTGCTGGTACCAAGTCCCTGCTGAGTACAGAGTCTCTGTTGGTACCAAATCTCTGCTGAGTACAGAGTCTCTGCTGAGTACCGAGCCTCTGCTGAGTACCGAGCCTCTGCTGAGTACAGAGTCTCTGCTGAGTACAGAGTCTCTGCTGGTACAAGTCTGCTGGTACCAAGTCACTGCTGGTACCAAGTCTCTGCTGAGTACTGAGCCTCTGCTGAGTACAGAGTCTCTGCTGAGTACAGAGTCTCTGCTGAGTACCAAGTCACTGCTGAGTACCAAGTCTCTGCTGAGTACCAAGTCACTGCTGAGTACCAAGTCTCTGCTGAGTACAGAGTCTCTGCTGAGTACAGAGTCTCTGCTGGTACAAGTCTGCTGGTACCAAGTCACTGCTGGTACCAAGTCTCTGCTGAGTACTGAGCCTCTGCTGAGTACAGAGCCTCTGCTGAGTACAGAGTCTCTGCTGAGTACAGAGTCTCTGCTGAGTACAGAGTCTCTGCTGGTACCAGGTCTCTGCTGAAGTACCAAGTCTCTGCTGAGTACTGAGCCTCTGCTGAGTACAGAGCCTCTGCTAAGTACAGAGTCTCTGCTGAGTACAGAGTCTCTGCTGGTACCAGGTCTCTGCTGAAGTACAGAGTCTCTGCTGAGTACAGAGTCTCTGCTGAGTACCAAGTCACTGCTGAGTACCAAGTCACTGCTGAGTACAGAGTCTCTGCTGGTACCAAATCTCTGCTGAGTACCAAGTCACTGCAGTACAGAGTCTCTGCTGAGTACCAAGTCACTGCTGAGTACCAAGTCACTGCTGAGTACCAAGTCACTGCTGAGTACCAAGTCACTGCTGAGTACCGAGTCACTGCTGAGTACAGAGTCTCTGCTGGTACCAAATCTCTGCTGAGTACCAAGTCACTGCTGAGTACAGAGTCACTGCTGAGTACCAAGTCACTGCTGAGTACAGAGTCACTGCTGAGTACAGAGTCTCTGCTGGTACCAAATCTCTGCTGAGTACAGAGTCTCTGCTGAGTACCAAGTCACTGCTGAGTACCAAGTCACTGCTGAAGTACAGAGTCTCTGCTGAGTACAGAGTCTCTGCTGAGTACCAAGTCACTGCTGAGTACCAAGTCACTGCTGAGTACCAAGTCACTGCTGAGTACCAAGTCTCTGCTGAGTACCAAGTCACTGCTGAGTACTGAGCCTCTGCTGAGTACAGAGTCTCTGCTGGTACCAAGTCTCTGCTGAAGTACAGAGTCTCTGCTGAGTACAGAGTCTCTGCTGAGTACCAAGTCACTGCTGAGTACCAAGTCTCTGCTGAGTACTGAGCCTCTGCTGAGTACAGAGTCTCTGCTGGTACAAGTCTGCTGGTACCAAGTCACTGCTGGTACCAAGTTTCTGCTGAGTACTGAGCCTCTGCTGAGTACAGAGTCTCTGCTGATACCAAGTCTGCTGGTACCAAGTCACTGCTGAGTACAGAGTCTCTGCTGAGTACAGAGTCTCTGTTGGTACCAAATCTCTGCTGAGTACTGAGCCTCTGCTGGTACCAAGTCACTGCTGAGTACAGAGCCTCTGCTGAGTACAGAGTCTCTGCTGAGTACAGAGTCTCTGCTGGTACCAAGTCTCTGCTGAGTACAGAGTCTCTGCTGAGTACAGAGTCTCTGTTGGTACCAAATCTCTGCTGAGTACAGAGTCTCTGCTGGTACCAAGTCTCTGCTGAGTACTGAGCCTCTGCTGAGTACAGAGTTTCTGCTGGTACCAAGTCTGCTGGTACCAAATCACTGCTGAGTACCGAGTCTCTGCTGGTACCGAGTCTCTGGCCTGGCTGCAGGCCTGGCTGTCCTTTATCAGCATCACACTGTCCAGCTGTATGCAGACTAACAGTTCCCCGTGCTACCAGTCTTTGTGCAAAGCTAGGCTAACATTTAAACAGTAGATGTACCATTTCAAGCGTGTCACCTGGATTTCTGCAGAAATTGGTAATAAAATGTGATCTGATCTTCATCTGTGTCACAACAGACAAACGCAGTCTGCTTAAACTAACTCCACGCAAGCAATTATATGTTTTCATGTTTTTATTGAACAAACAGTGCAGGGTGGAAAATGAGTCCTTGGATTTAATCACCGGTTGACCCTCCTTCGGCAGCAATAACGTCAAACAAACATTTCCTGCAGATCAGACCTGAACAACGGTCAGGAGGAATTTTGGACCATTCCTCTTTACAGATCAGTTCACCTCAGTCGGGCCGAGGTCAGGACTCTGACTAGGCCACTCAAGAAGGTGTATTTTCTTCTGCTGAAGCCATTCTGTTGTTGATTTACTTCTGTGCTTTGGGTCATTGTCCTGCGGCATCACCAACCTTAAGTTTCAACTGGCGGTGATGATGCCCCCTCCACCATACCTCACAGTTGGGATGAGGTTTTGATGTTGGTGTGCTGTGCCTTTTTCCTTCCTCTTTTGCAAACTTCAGACATGCAGCAATGATTTTTTGGACAACAGAGGCTTCCTCTACCATGAACTCTATTCTTGTTTTTTTACATATCATAGAGTCGTCAACAGAAATGTTAGCATGTTCCAGATATTTCTGTGACACTCTAAGATCCTTCTTAACCTCATTGATCATTCTGTTTTGTGCTCGTGCAGTCATCTTTGCAGGACGGCGTCTCCTATGGAGAGCAGCCACAGTGCTGAACTTTCTCCATTTATAGACAGTTTGTCTTAAAGTGGAGTGATGGACATCAGGACTTTTAGAGATACTTCTGTAACCCTTTCCAGCTTCATGCAAGTCAACAAGTTCTTAATCTGAGGTCTTCTGAGAGGTCTTTTGTTCGAGGCACGGTTCACATCAGGCAATGCTTCACGAGAACAGCAAAATAAAAATTGGTTTGTTTTTATAGGGCACGGCAGCTCTAACCAACACGTCCACTCAGAACTCCTCCGTCGCAGCAGACAAACTCAGTGACCCAGGAGTGCTGATCCACCGTTCTGACGCTCTCCATCACTCTGGATCTTACGACGTCGCTGTGTGAAGCGCTGGAATCTGATTTGAGCGTTCATACTGAGGCGCACCTGTGAAACCCGACTGGAATCGCATTTCAAACCAGCTCCAAATGTGACTCGGATCCAGATTTTGTGGGATTTTGCAAAATCAATCCGGATAGATTGTAAATGCCTGCAGACTGATTTGTAGAAAGAGTTTAATTCCCCTCCATGTGTTTCTGTCCTTCCATAGACAGAATGAAACGCTGAACTGTTTTTTAAGCTTTTACATATTTCACCACGTTTCTCAGAGCTGCTCAGTCACAGACCGTCTGTAATCTGGAAGGTTTAATGTTCAGCTTCCTGCAGACTGACTGGGTCAGCTGACCACTTCCTGTCATTAGACCTGTGTGTGTTTGTGTGTGTGGTTACTTCCTGTTTATCTCTCCCTGATGATGTGATGTTACAGTAAGTTGGACTGAGTGAAGATTCAAGACACACACACTCAGTATGAAACACAAACTGTTCAGGACGCCATCGACTCTTAAAGCTCGCCTTGTCTGTGGATCATGCTGTGTGTGTGTGTGTGTTGCTGACTGCAGTCTTTGTGTGTTTCTGTGTATTTTAAGACTAGTGAATAGTGAATAGACAGCAGTGTGTTTGGCCTTAAACACAGAGTTCATTGACCTCTGCAGAGTCACAGCTGTTTATTCACCCCCCCTTCTCTTTTCTCAGGTTTCTAAAAAAATAACAGATGATTTATTATTATCATCACACACAAACACTCACAGTCAGCTCCTCTTTAGCTTCATTCAGATGACAGGAAGTGGAGGTCGACCTCTGGAGAGTATCACTTCCTGTCTGGACCTGTAGCCAATCACAGCAGTTTGAGTTTCAGGGAGTAGCCACAGACCACGACCTGCAGACAGACTCAGAGAACAGCTAGTAAACACAGTGCAGCGTTCAGCAGCTACACAGCCAGATATTTCCACTTCAGAGCTAACACAGAGAGAACACTGGACTCCCCTTCATCAGGTGACACATGTAACACCAAAACAGACTCCAGCCAATCAGAGAGCAGGATTATCTAAAATCACCACCTGTGTGATATTAAATCAGCTAACAGCGTCATCAGATTCACTAAAGCACAAACACACAGAGGGTTTATTCATGCAGCTCAGGCAGACAGTCTGCACGCTGTGTATCACGAGGACACACACACAGGAAGCAGAGAGCTAGAAGACATAAATCCAGATGTTCAGGATGTGAGACAGTCAATCTGGTTATAATTGCTGCTTTAAAGTTTCCAGTGTGTTTCAGCAGTAACAGTTGATGGGATTACAGCTGATCAATAATGACCAGCGTGTGCAGCAGGACAGGCTGACATCTCGGACCAGAGTCCAGACTGATGCTTCATGAGCTAAACCCCCATCTGTACTGTCCGACCCGTTCTCAGTCGTCACATATAAATGCCTGGTCAATACCTCTTGCTGTCGGTTTGTAACGCTCTGAGGGAAGCCCTGTAAGGCAGGTGAAGCATATTTAACAGCAAAGTCAGAGTAAGGACGTGGTGGGGTGCAAGGTGGGCCTGATATCGGACTTGCACCCAGGAGACCGTTGTTCGTTTGCCTCTTGAAATAAAAGGTCAAATGTTTTTAAGTCACGTAGTTACTTTAACCCAAACCCTGGTCTTTTCCTAAACCTAACCAAACTATGACGTTTCACAACTTGCCATTAACTTTGCATTGTTTTGCAATATTAAGAAGTACTTTTATTCTGAAAGTCTTAACCGGACGTTGCATTTTTATTCTTGCCATCTTTAACCCTAAATGTCCAAAAACGACAGTAAAGAGTACCCAGGACGTTAAAAAGCAATGCCAAGGGCACTTGATCAGGCGTCGATATGTGAATATATGGGAATGTGTGCTGTGACACTCTGTGGTTTCATAAACACAGCACAGAGAACATCACTTTGTATCGCCTCAGCCAGGAACGCGAGTCAAACCCAGTAAGTTTAAAGCCGAGGCTGCTGGGCAGGGAAGCAGTAACATATCCTGTTCATTCACAGCACATTTCCGATCAAACCTACAGACACAGACTGTGGAGGCTGCTCAGGTGGAAGCTGAGGAGATCTGCACTGGTCAGTCACCAACAACACCACTCAGAAGTCAGTAACCTGATAAGGTTCTGGCTTTTTCACTTGTTTAAACAGATTTCGAGTTCACCGATGTGAGCATGTGTGTTTACGGCTCAGTGGTTGGTTGGTTGTAGTTTAGTTTTTTTCTGTTCCAAGGTGTTTGTGTTGACTGAAAACTGATGGACATGATCTAGGTCAGTAAATACATTGATGTGTTCTCCGGTCACGAAGGAAGCACTCACATGCTGTAGTTTTGTTTTTAACGAACTGCCACATAGGAACCAAAAGAGTGAGACAGCTGCAAAGACCCACAAGACAAGTAACTCACCACTGAATTCCTTCTCTCTCCCTCCTCAAGTTTCTTCACACCACACGCAGGATTTAATCCAACCATGAGAATGCTAATAGCAGCTGTGTGTGTGTACTCTGCAGATGTTCCAGTAAAGAACGACACTGTGCTCCAGACGCCTTCATCGTCATCATCATCACCACCGATGACGACAACAAGACCTCCACCAGCAGCAGACCCTGACCCCCCCTCACCCCCACATAACCACATCACAGTTGCTAAGAAACAGTCGTGGGCACGGCAGGGCTCCGTGGCACCGCCCAGCGTCCTGCCCTCAGGTTCTGCCCCCAGACCCTCTGACCGGGAACGACCATCAGGGACATCCCAAGATGCATCTGGGCAGGCCTGGAGTCAGAGACTAGTACAGGATAAGGTACAATATGGTTCTTTAATTCCCTGTGATTAAAATTCATTTATTTCATGTAAATGTGTTTCAGGCCAGTGAAGACTGAATTCTTGTTCTTGTTCTGGAAGTTTGACCAGTATTTCTACATGTTCTCCCCTCCTTATCCTGCTCCTGGTAGTTTGACCCCTCCTTGTTCTGTCCTTTTAGTTTGACCATGTCTTCATGTACTCCTCCTGGTAGTTTGACTCCTCCTTCTTGTTCTGTCCTTTTAGTTTGACCATGTCTTCGTGTACTCCTCCTGGTAGTTTGACTCCTCCTTCTTGTTCTGTCCTTTTAGTTTGACATGTCTTCGTGTACTCCTCCTGGTAGTTTGACTCCTCCTTCTTGTTCTGTCCTTTTAGTTTGACAGCGTCTTCGTGTACTCCTCCTGGTAGTTTGACTCTTCCTTCTTGTTCTGTCCTTTTAGTTTGACAGCGTCTTCGTGTACTCCTCCTGGTAGTTTGACTCTTCCTTCTTGTTCTGTCCTTTTAGTTTGACCATGTCTTCATGTACTCCTCCTGGTAGTTTGACTCCTCCTTCTTGTTCTGTCCTTTTAGTTTGACCATGTCTTCGTGTACTCCTCCTGGTAGTTTGACTCCTCCTTCTTGTTCTGTCCTTTTAGTTTGACCATGTCTTCGTGTACTCCTCCTGGTAGTTTGACTCCTCCTTCTTGTTCTGTCCTTTTAGTTTGACAGCGTCTTCGTGTACTCCTCCTGGTAGTTTGACTCCTCCTTCTTGTTCTGTCCTTTTAGTTTGACAGCGTCTTCGTGTACTCCTCCTGGTAGTTTGACTCCTCCTTCTTGTTCTGTCCTTTTAGTTTGACAGCGTCTTCGTGTACTAATCCTGGTAGTTTGACTCCTCCTTGTTCTGTCCTTTTAGTTTGACCATGTCTTCGTGTACTCCTCCTGGTAGTTTGACTCCTCCTTCTTGTTCTGTCCTTTTAGTTTGACCATGTCTTCGTGTACTCCTCCTGGTAGTTTGACTCCTCCTTTTTGTTCTGTCCTTTTAGTTTGACAGCGTCTTCGTGTACTAATCCTGGTAGTTCGACTCCTCCTTCTTGTTGTGTCCTTTTAGTTTGACCATGTCTTTGTGTTTTCCACCTCATAGTTCGACTCCTCCTTCTTGTTGTGTCCTTTTAGTTTGACCATGTCTTCATGTTTTCCACCTCATAGTTTGAGTCCTCCTTTTGGTATGACTCCCACCTCTTGTTCTGCTCCCAGACAGAGCAGTGTGGCGACAGGGTGAGTGTCAGTCTGGCCTGGGATATGACCAGCACCCCCTGTATTCCTGTCAGTTCTACGGCAGTCCACCAGGAAGCTCCCGAGCCAGCAGGGGGCCCCCCTGACGTGCCCGCTACCTCTGTCAGCACCAAGTCTGGCCAGCGTGCGTATCTGCAAAGTCTGGATCGCAGCAGCCGAGCCTGGGTGCTGTCTTCAGGAAAGATCCAGGCTTCAGATGAGGCCTATAGGCTTCAGGAGGATAGCGGCAGCAACATCTGGTACAACCCGATCCCTGAGGAGGAGGATGCAGGAGGTCCACACAGAGAGGAGGAGATATGGAGGAAGAGGGATGAGAGCGGTGACGGAGGAGCATCAAAGATTCCCGGAGATAAAAGAGCAGAGCTCGGACGAGTGTGGGTCGGGCCAGCAGAGAGTCGTAGCAGTGACTGTCTACTGGAGGGCGCCAATCCAAGTGTCAGCCACCACACTGATGACATCACAACAGAAAACACAGGTAAGAAGACATGACTGCACCTACTGATTCTACATTTCTTCTTATATTGTGTTCAGTTTCTCTTACATACCACACCACACTGTTCCAGGTTTTCACTTAATCTGATTGAAATTACCTGGGTCACTCTGTTGGCCAACAGTTTCAGGAAAAAGTCTCTCTCTCCCTCAGACTCCCAGCCTTCAGACTCTAGCCCCGCCTCCCAAAAGAAAGTGGGCGTGTCTGGTAGTGTGATTGACAGGCTGAGGTCTCCTGGTACAGTGAGGAAACTCTCCCTAAAGATGAAGAAACTTCCTGAACTGCGCCGCAAACTCAGCCTTCGCTCCTCGTCTCGTGCCCTTCGCCAGGGAAATGACAGCAGAGGGGGTGGGGATGAGTCAGCCAGTAAAAATACCTCATCGTCGTCTGCCTTGTCCAACCAGAATGTGATCAGCAGATATCACCTGGATAGCTCCGCCCCTCCAACCAGACCGCTGCGACGATCATCAAGAGGGCGCTCCGCCAGTAAAGGAGGTGAACTGTCAACATGTTTGTAACAGGTCTAACGATGCCTAGAGGGACATAAACATTTATATATTTGGAAAACAGATTAGAAATTCATTTTTCAGTTTTATATTATTCATACTCTTTTAGTTTGAGCATAACTTTGGCTGATCTGCTCACATGGGACAGGCCCTATGGAGGCTACTCTGGCAGCTTGCTGAAGTAGCTGTATTTGGGAGTAAAGTAAGAATGTTTTAAAATACGTTTTATCCAACACATTCTCATCTCAATGCGTCATAACTGACGCTTTTCGAGAGCGTGACAAAGGGTAAGGATTTTACGCTAAAGGTACCCTTCAGCGTCTGTATGAAACGTCCCCGTTGCTAACCCTACCTGTTAGCTGTAGGGTTTACATGCATAAAGTCAGTGACTTAGGTTTAGGTAATAACATTTCTGATGGTTATGGTAAGGGTACGGGCTTCGAGGGGCTGTCAACACCTTTAACACAAAAGTACAGGATGTCCCTGAGCGTCTCATAGAGACGCACCCGGTGTGTCTCACACAGACACTAATAGTACCCTTTAACTATGTTTTGTCACTTTTTCTGATTCGTTGGTATTGGACACCCTGAGATGAAAACGGGCTGGATTTTTGTCAATTAACAAGGTGGTGCAGTGGTTAACACTTTCGCCTCACAGCAAGAAGGTCTGGGATTCAAACCTTGGTCATCCCCATGTTCTCCCCGTGTGAAACATGCAGGTTAATAGGTTAATATAAACACAAAGAAATTTGTTTAAATTAGACTGGGATAATTAACTTACACGTACACAGGCACAGAGTTTAGAATTTCCATCTAGACTTCCAGCAGCTGGTTCTTCTTGGTGGGTGTTGTCTTAATCCTCTGGAGGATGTCTTGGGCCAGAGGTTTGAGCCCGTTCACGAGTCCTGGAGCAAAGCATGAACCTGCTCACAGTATGATCCCATCAGTTAAACAACCAGAATGTAAACCTTCGTTTTAGGTTATCTTAGTGATGGGGACTCCCCCGAGCTGCTCCCACGGCAACCGGCCCTTCCCCTTACAACTTCCCAGGAAACGGCATGCGACGTCAGCTCTTTCCGATTGTACGTGGGCTCCGATCCACAACGATGCAGCCAGCGGGTGACGGGTTTACTGACTGTCCATCTGATGGGCCTGGAGGAGATGAAGACCAGCAGGTAGGAATGCATAACCACCACACCTGGTACTAGCTAAAGCTGGTGATACACGGAGCAACTTCTAGAGCAATCGTGCAGGGCAACGTTGCCGTCAATGGTAATGAGTAAAGAATATTACCGTAATCCCCTTCCCCCACCACTCCACGACCCACCCAGCACCATCACTATCCGTTCAAAACATAGTCGGACTTGCCACTAGCAAATATTGCCCAGCAACATTGCTCAAAAAGTTGCCCCGTGTATCATCAGCTTAAGAGCAGCTAATATAAGTTAATACTTGCTAAATGGTTGCAGTTGATTATTAACTGAATTTCCCACAGAGGTCCTGGAAGTAAATGATTGATGATATGTATAACAAGTAGAAATGTGACTTCAGTTTACTTTGTTTATACATTTTAAAGTTACAGGAACAGACATTTCTGTTCAAAGGTGCCAGTTTTTAACTGCAGTCTCTGGGCAGCTGTAGGGCTAGGATTAGTTCTTCCTGTTTGGAAGCTTTCTTGAATATGATAGAAAAATGTATTATTAGTAACAGTAACTTTTCAAAAGAGGCTGCATAAAGAAAATAGATGTTGCTCTGACTGTTTGCACATTGTTGGCACATTCTACCAAGACTGTGTCGATATAATCTTCAGGAGTGGAGAAGTCAACTACGTTAATATTTTGTAATGATGATTCGACCAGGAGGGTTTCATTCTAATCCAAGAGCTCCAACTGTGAGTCACTGAACATTGTCTATAAGAAAAATGAATGTGGTTTTACTGCAGGAAGCAGAGCTGTTTGAAATAGCTCCTAACTCTTTACAACTCAGTAATCTTCAGTGGAACTGTCGTTTTCCTTGTCACAGTTATGTTCAGGACACCAGAGACCAACAAGCCTCCCCTGTTGTTGGTTAAGATGCTGAAACACGTTGGGTAATGATGGCTCAGTTTTGAAAAGTGACTCCCTTTCTGTCCCTGTCTCGCCTCTCAGGTCAGAGGACAGTAAGGAGGTCTTCCTGGCCATCCAGATCGATGGGGTGACGAGAGCGAGGACTGCCCTCCTGACGCTGCGAGGCTCCGCCCTCTCATTAAACCACGCCTTCCACCTGGAGCTGGAGAGAGCCCGGCAGCTTCGGATAGTGGTGTTAACACCAGGTACTGCTGCTGCGTGCAAAGTAGTTAGTTATCAATGGTACTTATTCTACCACCGCAACTATAGCCCCTTTTCCACCGCATGGAACCAGCTCGACTCGCCTCGACTCGCCTTTGCCTTTGGTTTTCCACTGTGGAAAAGTTGCACCTGTACCTGCTTCCAGGTACTTTTCTTCGTATCACCTCCGTCGAGGTTCCACAGAGCAGAATGCTGATAAGTCGGAGAGAATCGTCACTATTCACTGCATCATCATTGCGTGCGCCGGACAGAGGCCAGCGACAGAAAGTTGAGCTGGTACTGGTAATGGAAAAGGGGCTTATGACTTATAACTGCCAGCACTACTGCTATTATTGCAATTTCAACCAGATCATCACAACCTGCGGAGTATCTCAGTAATGACAGGTTTGTCCTGATCTCATTTCTGTTCCTCAATCCAATGACCCTGTAAGCTTTCCTCGAGCGCCACCCTTAGGAAAAACTTTACACGTTTAGCTCCAGCACTGTTAGCGGAAGGTTCAGCTGGTTACATTTTGGGTCCGGGTCCTGGTTGGTAAAATGCCAAGATTCTCCAAGGTTGACACAAACACATGATTTTTCTCACAGCTTTTGATTAGCAAAGAGCAATTTAGAAAACATTGATGTTAGCAGTTAGCAGTTAGCATCACTGGAAGCAGAAAACAGATTATTCAGTATAGTTCCATAGTGTCTAAAATGAACCCTTTGGTTGTTGTCTCTACTGTTACTTATTTGTTACTTATGTATTTCTACACTGTATGTTGTTAGCTAAAGATCAAAGTACTTATGTCAAAAACAAATGTTGAAAAGTGCTCTGGGATTCGAAATGATTCAGATTTGATACATGCAATTGAACTCAAACTAAAGCTTCTTGAAATCCTTTGTGTGATCAGTTTTTTATGTATTTCTGTCTGCAGCCAATCCACAAGCAGTGTGCGGGTCTAAATCAGGGACAGATCAGGGTCAGACTTCAGGTGGTCCAACCAGAAACCGAGTCTGCTGTCTGGGTGGAGTCTCCATCCCGCCACTCTTTAAAGGTTCACTACACTTCAGAATTTTATTAATTCACCATTTCTGTTTAAATGTAATGTAAACGTAAATTCTGCTCAAACATTAATGACCATCCTTTTCTCTCAGGGAGTCGAAGTCAGCAGCTCTGTGTGAAGTTGGAGCCCAGAGGTCTTCTTTATGTCAAACTGTCACTGCAAGAAAAATGGGACACACAGGTACACAGTGAAACTACTAGAACTGCCAATTAAAGTGGTGAACGCAACACTTCAACAGCTCTACCAAACCACTCTTAATCATGACTCAGCACGATATGGCATGTGTGTACAATGTGTGGGATCATTACTAAAAGTGCATGTACACAGCTGCAGGCAATGTTCCCTTTATAAATCACTGTCCACCTGGAAATGTGTGCATGTGGATCAGCCTCATGTCTCGCCCTCTACATGCCCACATTCAGCCATAAATGGTTAATGCAAAGCACCTGCTGAATGTTGATGCATAGAAATTGCAGATCGACGGCTCTTTACTCTGAATCAACATGGAAACAACAAGAGACTGCAGCGAGTGGCAACATGCTGCTGCTGCAGTTAATGCAGTGACTTCATTGTGAAATTAAAAAACTGGTCAGATCTTAAGGTGGAGACAAAAAGAAGTGCATTCCAGCATCAGAGTGTGTCTGTGCTGGTGTGGGGCACGGAGGAGGAAGACACTGCCATGGAGACCAATTCTTTTACGCTATTTGATGTTATCTTTTCTACAAACGATGATCATTTCACCAGTTATTAACGTGGTTGAAGAGAAAAGGACTCTCGTGTGTCAGCTGTATATTCACACTTGTTATTGGGGAAAGGCCACCAGACTTTCCGGAATCTTGCCACCTGCCATATCCTGGCATCAACAGCTGTGGTACTCCACAACTAAGTGAAATTAAATTTGTTAGAGGCCTCTCACATTTAATTTCAATGTTCACTAGCTGTGGCATCAATTTCCTGTCTCCAAAGTGTTCTCATGCACGGGCGTTCACTTACAGGTGTGCACATTCTCCGGTCAGATTTGTTTTTATAGATCAGACCCCACTTTATGCATATGTAACTGTTATAAATTAGGCCCCTGAGCTGTGGAGACCTCATCACAACTGTAACCAACATATTTAATTTAATCCTTCTTGTAATTGTATTACTTTCCCCCCGCAGCCCAGCACTGACACATCAGTGCCTTCTAATGTGTTTGGGGTTGAACTTCACCATCTAGTGGAGAAAGAAGGATCTGCATCCCCAGTCCCTCTACTGATCCAGAAATGTGTGGCAGAGATAGAACGAAGAGGACTGAAGGTATCTATCTATTTATAGCTACGGTGTGTAAATCTGCCATCCACCCCTGCAGAGATCTGGCATTCCAGATCTGGTAAATCCTGGTCGCAGTACCAGGGTTTTCTTAGTAGAGGTGCCCCACACTTGGTTGTGGTCCATGTTATGCCATTTATCTTAATCCCTCCAGTGTACTTTGTCTTTGACCACCTCTAACCACTGCTTAACTAGTGCTGAAGACCTTGTCTGTGTGTCTGTCAGGTGGTGGGTCTGTACAGACTGTGTGGTTCTGCTGCGGTGAAGAAGGAGCTCAGGGACTGGTTTGAGAGGAACAGTTCAGCCGTGTGCCTCAGCGAGGACCTCTACCCTGACATCAACGTCATTACAGGTCAGTAAATACACAGCTGGTTGACTCAAATCTGACCGTAACTCTGAGGAGGTGTGGTTTAGTGCGACTCGTTTCGCAGCCACTAAGGTCTTTTCTAAGTCATCAAGATCAGGTTCAAGTTGCGTCACAGTCAGGAAGGTCTCGATGACCTAATCAATAATGCAAAGTGTGTCTCAGAAAGTTCTGATTAACCTTCTCACTCTTAAACTGATGATACACGGAGCACCTTTAGAGCAATGTTGTTGGGCAATGTTACCAGCAACACCTCATCACCACAGCAAATTCCTCCTAGATGTAAAACACTACTTGGCAATAAAGATTAATAATCTAATCCCCTTCACCCAGCACTCCTCCACCCGCCCCGCCGCGATCCGTTCAAAACATACTCGGCCTTGCCACTAGCAACATTGCCCAGCAACATTGCTCAAAAAGTTGCCCGGTGAATCATCAGCTTTACAGTTTGTCACACAAGTAGGAACTTGCAAACACTGCAGGTGTTGGTGCAGGGACGGACTGAAGCTGCAACGCGATCATACATGACTTAAACCCGATCCTCAGGACTTGAACTTGACCTTGATTACTCGTTGACTCGTACTTTTCCTGATTGTACTCAGAACTGTGTTTTCTCAGGTATACTGAAGGACTACCTGCGGGAGCTGCCATCTCAGCTCATCACCAGGACTCTGTACCAGGTAGTCAGGGAGGCCATGACCCTACAACCCCCACCTTCCCCACCTGCAACCCCAGATCCTCAGATGGCCCAGAGCACTGTGGAGCTGCTGTCCTGTCTGCCCCATCCAGAGAGGGTAACACAGAGTACTACTACTGGAGTACTACTGCAGTACACTAATACAGCATTCAGAGGGTCCCACTGTCACACAGGGTTAAATGCAAACTTTCATGTCGAAGCAGCTTCTTCTTCTGCCACATTTCTACACATGTTCCGATTCAGAGCAGAGAGAAGGGTTGACTTACGTTTTCCGTCTCTCTCTCCAGGCCACCCTGTCTCTCCTGCTAGACCACCTCAGCCTGGTGGCGTCCTTCAGCTCGTCCAACAGGATGACACACCAGAACCTCGCTGTCTGCTTTGGCCCAGTGCTCCTCACCCCAACCCAGGAAGCGTGGAGGGGGGGGGGAGGAGGTGCAGGGAGGGGAGGAAGAGGAGTGGGGAAAGGATTCGGTCATGGTGAAGAAATAGCAAGTGCGGTGGATTTCAAACGACACATCGAGGCGCTGCACTACCTGCTGCAGCTGTGGCCAGGTGAGACCGGAGGAGCTCCAGCTGGAAGTAACCTCAACATCCACAAGCTCCACCCACTTACACTGACACTCAGGTACTCGTACTTACCTTTAAAAGGTGTCACTTTGCTGTTCATGTCTTGTTCCTCAGTGCCGACCCATCGAGTCCCAGCAGATGATCACATCAAAGTGTCCCCGCCTCCCTCCCCAGCCCTCACCCATAACCCCCTGCTCCAGCAGCAGCATCGGAAACCTGCGCTGCGATTGGCTCTGCCCCAGAACCCAGAGGAGGTGGTGGTGTCACGTCGAGGTCGAGGCGGTCTGGCCCGGCTGGAGAGTCCGCCACCGATCAATCGGTACGCCGGAGACTGGAGCGTCTGTGGACGAGACCTTCTGTCCGGACAGGAGGCTGATTATGACGAGGTGGCAGGAAGTGAGAGTGACGGAGGTAAACAGATGAGCAGGAAGGTTTGTCAAACGTATTTCCATTTCTTGACCCAGTCGACGAAGACAACCACACCTGACGTCACTGGAAAACATCGTACTCACCGCACAGTAGAAACGTTTATTCGTTCCGGTGGTGTGGACGAGTCAATACAGTTTGAAACAAAGAGAAAACTAGGTTTTCATTTTGTTGTTGCTGTTTCAGGCAGCGGGGATGAAGAGGAGGAGAAGAAGGAGGCGTGGTCGTCAGGAGGAGGAGAAGGAGGAGGTCTGTATGTGGATGAGTTCCTGGATTTCGACGCTCCATTTAACTGTCGACTCAGCCTAAAGGACTTCGACACTTTGATCCACGACCTGGACCGAGAGCTGGCCAAACAGATCAACATCTGTCTGTAGGAGGAGGAGGAGGAGGAGGAGGTCTGTTCATCAGTCAACTTTCTTCTTCTTTAATTTGATATCAACTTCTAAAACTTTCTCACATTCAGAATAACAAACAACAAATATTTTTTACTTAATTCCCTGATTTAATGCTTTGCTTCAAGGTTCCTTCAACAGTCCCAGGAGTATCAAACAACTACAACTCTGTTACAGCAGACTGACCTCAAATCAGCTGCTAGTTTGACCTCTGACCTCCTCACGGCTTCCTCTGATCGCTGAAGCTGAAGAGACTCCATCAGGAAACCAGACTGAAACCAGCCAAAGAAAAATAATCTGCGTATTTTCTTGTAAATTGTTGACATGTCTCTATTTTCAGCATCACAGTTTTCTCTAATAATAACTTTAAATTCCATAAATTCACCTTTATGAGATAATTGTGATGTGAGATTTGGAAGTTGGTGAACATATGTCCATCAGCGGGAAGTGATGAGTTTAACTCAAAGACAAGATGGATGCCGTTCTCAATGTTTCCTGCTGGTCAGCATGGAGGATGAGCCCCAGTCTGTGCCAAAAGTCTAAATCAAACCAGATTAATTTATTTTTCTGATCCAAAGATGAGCGCAGCTTCAGAGTTCATATGAAGGAGAGGTTTGAGCCACACTGTCGGTTCATAACCTTATTATTATTAATGTACAGATGTTCTGATGATAAAGACCTTCTGAAGTCACAAGTGAAGTGAACTGTGTTGTTCTGGGTATCAGGGTCGGATCATGCCGGAGTGAATCGGGGCTGTTTGCACTGTTGAAGCCATATTTTCACTTGCTGTAAGTTTAAGTTGAAGAGCACAACCTGCAGTCAGAGTTCCCCTCACTCCGATCAGTTGACATGCGTTTATATTTATTCTCCTTTCTTTGAGAGACCTTTGAATTTGCTGCGATGTGACATCTGCAGAGAGCCTGAAAGGTCCCAGTGGAAATGTTTTTCTGAACTGTCGTGTTTCCTCACAGGATCTGAACCTTGTTGTTCTGTCAGATGTGCAGGAGGATACTGGAGGAGTTGTGGTTGCAGCTGCTGTCAGACCTCTGGCTTCTTCTGAAAATATAGATCAGAAGGAGTAAAAAATGAATTGCCAAAGAACAGAAAAAAGAAATCCCGCTGTGATCTTTTCAGGTATTAAGGTAGGCTGTGTTTTAGCATCATTAGCATGTAGCAGTAGCACGTAGGTCGACTGTTTGTAGCTGCTTTTATCTTTAAAATGTCAATGATGACCTGAAGGGAGAGTAGGAGGAGCTTAACATACCACACCCACTGCGTCTGTTTTCATCTGAACAGACAATAAATATCTGAAGTTTCACAACATTTTTAAACTAAGAAAGCTCAGGAAGCATGTTGAGCTGAGCAAACGAACACAAATCTTGACTTGTGCAGTAACGATGTTTAGATTCTGTTCTGTTGTTGGTCGTGTTAAAGCCATATTCCTCCAAACGGGTTTGCAGGTATCGGTCAGTGCTGCAGGTTTCTGTTGGTCCTGCTGGTTTGTGTTAGTCCTGCAGGTTCTGTTGGTCCTGCAGGTTTCTGTCGCCCCTCGCAGGTTTCTGTTGGTCCTGCTGGTTTGTGTTAGTCCTGCAGGTTTCTGTTGGTCCTGCAGGTTTCTGTCTGCCCTGCAGGTTTCTGTTGGTCCTGCAGGTTTCTGTCGCCCCTCGCAGGTTTCTGTTGGTCCTGCTGGTTTGTGTTAGTCCTGCAGGTTTCTGTTGGTCCTGCAGGTTTCTGTCTGCCCTGCAGGTTTCTGTTGGTCCTGCAGGTTTCTGTCTGCCCTGCAGGTTTCTGTTGGTCCTGCAGGTTTCTGTCTGCCCTCGCAGGTTTCTGTTGGTCCTGCAAGTTATTGTCACCCCTCGCCAATATGATAACGCTGCATTTTCAGGACCCCTGCAGTCCTGGGACCACAGTTCTAGGGCCGCAGTTCTTTTGAGACAACGGCATCTAGTGGATTGGTGGTGGTAATGCACAGCAACACGAAGGATGTTAACGCTGTTAGCTGTAGGGTTAACCGGTCATCGTGCATATAATGATCACCCTGTGATGGTTAGGAGAATTGGCTTCGGGGCTGTCAAGAGTAACATAGCTAGCTGGCAGTATCAAAGAACTAAAGTGTCCTACAAATGCATTTCTGGTCTGAAGATTGCGATCCTGAAACTGCAGCCTCTGGTACTGCAGCTACATATTAATCCCCCTCGCAGGTTTCTGTCGCCCCTCGTAGGTTTCTGCTGGTCCTGCAGGTTTTTGGCACCCCTTGCAGGTTTCTGTAGCCCCTCGTAGGTTTCTGCTGGTCCTGCAGGTTTCTGTAGCCCCTCGCAGGTTTCTGCTGGTCCTGCAGGTTTCTGTCGCCCCTCGCAGGTTTCTGCTGGTCCTGCAGGTTTCTGTCGCCCCTCTGGTCCTGCAGGTTTCTGTAGCCCCTCGCAGGTTTCTGCTGGTCCTGCAGGTTTCTGTCGCCCCTCTGGTCCTGCAGGTTTCCTGAGCAACAGAACGATGTGAGCTGCAGCCGGTCTTCAGTATTTTCATGGTACAGAGGTTCTAACTGTGATGTGTTTGTGAAGCCACAGAACGAAGAAGATGCCATACTCAGTGTTAACGATGATGTTGTTGTTTTGATGTTTTCTGTTTGTCGATATTTGACAGTATTATTTTGTTTTGCACAACTTCAATAAGCACTTATGTTTTTTATTTTGTTTCTATGCAGATGATGTAACCAAAGTGTTGAAGCACAGTTCTCGTTGGAACAGACCTGTCTGTACAACTTATTAACCTGACCAACTATTAAACACATTATTATTATTATTATTACTACTACTGACTGGATACCTGTTTTTATCATTAGCTGTGCTGCAAATTTCTGTTTGATCACTCTCAACAATCCCACCTGGGAAGAAGTGCTCTGAGTGTTCTGAGACCAGATGCAGTTTAATGCAGAAACAACGACGCGTTCATTAATCATTAAAAACCATAACCTGAGATTATGGAAACATTGCAGATATTTCCATTTTATTTCAACAATACTGTTGGACTGAATTCAGGGAAATATTGATAAAGTAGTACAAATGTAGCCTACATGTTGTCAGGGGCTCCAGCCTTCAGACAAGTTACTGTAAGAAACTACATGAAACGATCTGGAAAGTCTGCGCTGCTCGCAGTAATTATAACACTACATGTGTAAAGACATGGTGTTACCTAAACTGAACGTCTGTTGGGAAACCTAGCCATTGAACTCAGTTTCCCATAATCCTCCAGGATTTCACACTTAGGTATGAACTCCACTCATGCCCCCAGGACATTTTCTCTTAGGGGTGTCCTCACTTTAGTAGCCAGCGGTTTAGACATTAATGGCTGTGTGATGTGTTATTTTGAGGGGCGTCGCGGTTCTTCGTGGGTCTTCTTCAAGTACTATTTAAAAACATAATGTTTTTTGTATGGTTCATCAATGTTGATAAATGATCCGAACTTTCCGCGAGGTGCGGACAACTCGGCACAACACCGGTGAAGTTCAGGCTCCGTCCCTACAGCAAGTTCCTCTTCTGCCACTACACACTCTCACACATGCACACTACGCCTACACATGCGCTACCTTGAGGGTTAGGGTTACAATTCTGGATTTATTCACGCACTTTAAAGACATTTATTAAAAGCTTATTTTCTTTTTTAATTTTTTTATTTACAGCATTAAATGTTGAAATGTATATTGTAACAGGCTGTATATTAACTTACTGGGAGAAAACTGGTCGTTCTATGTAAAATCAGACGTTGAGCACCCCCATATCGCCACAATGGTGTGATCCTTGTTTCACTGCAGAGCTTTGACTGTGAGACTGACAGTCGAATCAGGCTCCAAATCTTTGACTATTCAGAGTCGGCCCTAATAAACATATATATATATAAATTTATATAATTTAAAGTAGCTTAGATGTAGTAAACTACTTTTGCCATGTTGCTGTAGCTTAGCTCACTACATTTTCCAAGTAGCTTGCCCAACACTGACAATGATGGGTCATGACAATAGATGCGATGTGATTTATTAATTATTATTATTTCATATTTCTATCTGATGGTTTAGCAGACGTTTCTCACTGACCGGATGGATTCCAACAGGTGGATGAGACGTGTCACACAGCGGCCCGGTGGTGAGAGACTGATTACAATGATCAGATGTTCTAAAAACTAACAGAACCATAAAACCAGACTCTGACAGCAGAACCTTAAAAGGGCACTGTGCTCCTGGGATGATGAAGTCTCTATGCCCTCAGTGGTGTCTGACAGGATTCTCTGACCTGCTGTGGATCCATTACAAGTCTTCTCTGCAGCTGCTGCTGTGCGACTACCATCCGCAAATAATTACAAAGCTTTTATTTTTTAGTACTGGTAATCTGAATGTATTGATCGATCAGACAGTTGTTGTTGTAACAGAAAGCAGACGTGTTTAGCTGCATTTAGGGAATCTGCTTTAATGTTGCACCAGTTAGACGCCGGTCCCCGTTACTGGCGGTGCATTTTATAGAAACAATGAGAACAAAGTCTCATTTATTCAGATTTACCCGCATGGGAAACAGGAAAAGCATAGGGTAAGGGAAAGTATATGTAAATGTGCTTAAGTAAAAAGTACAATATTGGCTTCTAAAATGTAGTGGAGTAGAAATGTAAAGTACCATAAAATAAAAATACTTAAGTACCATTACAATACGTACCCTACTTGAGTAAAAGTACATTTCACCACTGTGACCCACAAATCCCAGACTTTTTTTTATGTATTATTTAAGTTTTATAGTTTCTTTACTTTATCTGTTACAGTAGTGAACTGTGACTGTTCATTTTTAATGACCTGCTGATGGTGGCGTTGCTCCACCCTCCTGTCCTTTTGGAAGAATTCCTGATGTATCTGTTATTAGATTATTTATTTACGCTTTTCTTGTATTGAATCTTCTGTTAACATGAGAAGCTTTAAAGCTTTTGTCATGTTAAGTCGTTTTTATACGTTTTAAATTTCCTACAAACTTTTCTTCGGACGGACCTTCCTGTCAGTCTGATCTCAGGGCCGAAAATCCCTCCTCTAGAGGACAGGCTCCGCCCCGCTGGTACGTCACGGCTAGGCTGCGCCGTCTTAGTTTTGGCTCCTCTGTGATTGGCTGAGAGAGTGAGCAGCTGACGGTTCAAGGAACCTCCCCCTCCCTGTCGGGGGCGTGTCGGAGCGCGCGACACGGCGGCCTGTCGGCTGAAATGGCTGCAGCGTGAAAGTATCAGAAAGTAGCGGCAGCAGAAGAAACGGAACCAGCTCGCGGTCCGGGTTCGTGCTGGACTGGAGCGGTTCTACTGAGACAGGAACTTTCAATGAACTGCACCAGGTGAGTCCGGCTGCGTTATGAAACTGCGCCACAGCAGCTTCCGGTCTGTCACCTGTCAGTCAGAACTGACCTCAGAGCAGCACAACATGTTTTATACTGCGTTACCTTAATGTCTCTACAGACAACCACATCACTGTGACAGTACTGCAGTACTGAGGGAACTGTGTGTACTTGTACTGCGTGGTTTGTAATGTGCTGTTTAATTCTACTCTTGTTTTGTGTAAAATACTTTCTGTGTATCTGCGCTGCTGCTCCATCACAGTGAAACTACTGCACTCTACTGAAAGTACTGCAGTACTCAGAGTATTTTGTATTTGGTAGCTTTTAGAGGTCAGAAGCAGCTGCTGCGGTGAAAGTCCTGACAGCCAATCGGAGCGCAGCGTGTGACAGGTGACCTGGAGCGCAGGTTACCATGGTGATGTTCCTGAACGCAGACCTCAGGTGAGCCGTTACCTGTCGTGTCTCTCTCCCCAGGGCCCTCCAGGTGCTGAGCCCTCGCCCCGGGGGTCCGTCTCCCATCATGCCCGTGGACATGGCCCTGAGGATCTGCCTGGCCAGCTCTCCTCCTCTGCGCTCCTTCCTCACTGACCACGACAGCCGCTGCTCTCCGTCAGCAGCCGCCGCGTGCGAGCGCTGCGAGCCGCTGCGACCCTGTCTGTCCTCCGGCCGCTGCCACCACGCCTTCGGCAACGACGTGGCCACGGCAAACGCCACCTCCACGGGCGCGAGCGTAGAGACGTGCGGCGGCCCGGCGTGGCCGAGGAGGACGAGGAAGAAGAGCGTGGTGTTTGCAGACTCTCGGGGACTCGCGCTCGCCACCGTCCACGTCTTCAACGAGGCCGAGGACGACGCGCTGACAGAGCTGCAGTTCCACCTGACGGAGATAGAGGGCGCCACCGCCGGACCGCACCTGGGAGGAAACAAAGGTGATTCATTAGTCCTTAGCAGAATATTCTGAACGTGTGCAGGTCACAGGGAGGAAAGTGAAGCGGGTCATCGCGCTGTCACGGGGAAGATGGCGTGCAGCAGTTTCTGTGGCGTCGCCCGCCTCATTGAGGGCGTTCGCCACGATACGGCGCCGTAATCTAGAACAGATGGGTGGTCGCTCAGGGTGACAGAGAGAGAGCGTTAACAAGGTGCTGTTCACTGCGTCAACCTTTATTCATAAAGCACATTTCAAACAATTAAAAATGAAAAGAGGCCAAAAGATTAACGACATTTAAGCACAAGTTCCCTAAACAGACTCAAGAATAAAGACGATCTGCTAATCAGGCGGTTTGTTCCTCTTCACACCTCCTGAGCCACAGCCGCCCCTCTAAAGTGTTCTCCCGCGTCTGTCAGAGGTTTCCACCCCAACGCCTCGTCATATTCCTGGAAAGGACAATCATCAGATATACGATGGAGTCATTGTTCATATTTTGAGTCTTTTGTGGAAAATGTTCCTACCAAATACATCCCACTATAGAAAATATGATCTGAATACATCATGAGTGAAACAGTGAAATGCATGTTTTTCTTGCCGGAGTTGCTTGTTACGTGATGCATCCTGTTTTAACTAAACACGTTGTTAAGCTGCGTTTGGGGGAACTTTAAAACTCCTCCATGTTTGCGGCCGAAGTCACACGGAGCTCACTTTTGAAGAAAGGCTCCTCCGTCGTGCAGCAGAGGCCGTTCAGACCTTCAGCAGGCAGCGCTGACGCTCACTGAGCGCCGGAGGGATCAACCACGTGGACCCTGGCAGGAAAAACAAACCCAAAATAAATCAGTAAGATCTCCTCAACGCATCATGCTGGTGAAAGAAGCTAAGGGATATAAATCCATGAGAATATTTATTTTACCATTACAGACTACACGGAGATGCAATACAGAAAAAACGTGATATTTTCATCCTCGTTTGGTAAAAAAGCTCTATTTTAATGCAATAAAGCATCAAATCCATCATATGGTAGATTATAATGCACCTGGAACACAACTGTAACTGTAAATCTGATGAAAAGAAACACAATCTTTCAAAAATATAGCAGGCGATGTTCCACGTTTTGGCCATATTTACTGTTTATATGTTCACTTTTATCGGGAGCGGTCTCCAAAACATTATTTCTCTCCACACGACCACGTTCCAGATAACAAAGCTTCCAAAATATTGATAAAAACAGTCAATATATGTGGCCTAAAGCACGCCGCCTCCGAAGCAAACTCTACTTCAATCTGACGGCCGCTGTTTTCCCAGAGAACAGCGACATGAGAAAAGTGACCAGAGCTGGACGGACAGCTGATGACTCAGAGTCTGCCTCACCTTTCCCTGCCCTCTAAGAAATATCTCAAACAGTACTGAAAGTCATACCTTGGGGATTTCTAAGTACCCGATCTACCGTGACCCTGTGTGGCCGCCCAAGACAGTGACAGAAATCCGTTTCTAAAAACTCTCAGCAAGTTAAAACCCTCAAAATAAAAGAT